CTTGAACTTCAAGAACATCATGAACATGATGAACATCTTCAACAAATTCAAGAGCATGAATATCACTTGGATCTTCAATTAGCAAAACATATTGCTTTCTAAACAATTCCTTTTCTCTTCCCTTCATTTTATTTCCATCCCAAACTAACATATCCATTGTTATTTCAATCAGATTTTTTATCTTACAAAGAGGTTGAAAGATCAATTTTTCAGAATTATCTTTCTAGTTCCTATAAGAAATCAAAGTATTCTATGTAATCAATCCACCTTTCAACAATAATCCATAATATTGTTCTTCATTGACTTTGTACTTGACATCTTCAATCATCACGATCCAAGAATCATAATCCAAACATACCATCTTTGATCAATTAAGAAAAAGATCACAATAAATTGGATATTTCTAGAGAGAGAAAGTGAATTTGAGAAATATCTAGAAAAGGAAAGTTAATTTGAATGAACTTCTAGAAAGAGAAAGTGATTTCGACATGAATTCTAGAGAGAGAAAGTGAAAATCACATGAATTGTAGAGAGGAAAAATCGAATTTAAATCAAGATCAAAGAATTAATTCAATTTCTAGAACTAAAAACACTCTCAACAGAAAGAAAACTTGCAACATGAAGTTTGATTAATGATTCACCCAATAAAAAATGTTATCATGGATCAATTTCTTGAGAACTTCAAGCACCCGCTCTGATACCAATTGTAGTAACCCGATTATGATGACGAATGTGGAATAGTAATGATTAATGTGAATCAAACATAATGGAGAACACACAATGTAAATATAACAGTTTAAGCTCTCATTTAGACTAGAAAGTATTACAAAGTGGGTCTTGTAATGATTTCTCTCTATAATAAATCTCACACATATGGGTTCTTATATAAAATAGGAGTCATCCACTTTCTATTTATAGGAAAGGCTAAATCCATTACACAATATAAAAGGGTAAGCCTACATCACATCCAATGAGAACTTTACATCCTAATAAAATCTGTCAAATCAAATATAACCGCCTTTTATATCTTTTTTAATTTTTGTTGAAAGCGTACAAAATTGTACAAAGGTAAAATGCACGATCATGTGGGAGGATATTCGAACACATAAATAACACTCCTCACAAACTATAAAAATTATTAATAATGTCATGTCTGAAATCTTTTGATTTTTTTTAAATATTATAAAAAGAGGTTTAAAATTTTCTTATATTTATATAGAATGGAAACTCACAGTTAATTGCAAATACTATTCTTGATATCCGTAAACTTCAAAAGTGGTCATTAAAATTTATCAATTCTAATAGTTTCAAAAGACATTTTATAAAGATCATTATTTAAAAAGATTCGATATAAAATTTATTTCTTTCAAAACGGTTAATGTAGCTTAGGTATATTAACACAAAGTTATCAACTAACTTTCATTTATTTTTATTTATTTTTATATTATGTTCAATACAATCATTATCAACACAAACACCCCACCTCCAAACAAATTATGGCTCCTAAAGCAACATTTATATTTTTTAATTCAAAATAACGTATTTGTATTTTATAACTCAAAACAAGGCTACAAGCCTACAACTAACAAAAAAATAATTGTCGAACGAAAATTACTCGCTGAAATATATTTTAATGGTAAATGATATTTATTAATTTATTATATGCCAACAGATAATTAATGGTAAATGATATTTGTTAATTTATTGTATGCGAAACTATTCGCCGCTTGACGTCGATACCACTATGTCCACCCTCAGAAAGAAAGAATATTACTCATCGCGTTGTAGAAGACAAATTGCAAAGATTTAAAAGCTATGAATGTAGAGTCCACAGAACCTCTCCGTATGTGTTTCCTATATGTAAAATACAACAGGTGTGAATAGAATTTTCAATGGCGGGCTGCTTTTAGTTTTAAACACGAGACCACTTCACCGAACTAACCATTCGCCAAATGAAAACAAATTGCAACCCAAAAACTGTAACAAAGAGGTTTCACTTAAATTATAAACTATTCTGCCGCCGCATCTACGTACCTAGCTAGAAAATATTTGCCGAAAGAAACTATCTGGCACAAAACAATACGCCAAAAGACTGAAACGAACTATATGACAAGAAAGGAAACCAATTGTCGCATGGAAACTATCTACCAAAAGGAATATTTGGTGCCGCTGCATCGCGCGGGTATCCGACTAGTATATATATATATATATATAATATATATATATATATATATATATATATATATATATATATATATATATATCTATATATATATATATATATATAGGGTTACGATTAAATATAAATGGTAAATATAGCGTAAATGTAGGACTGAATCTGGTCCATCGGATGAGAAACATCATGTGATTAAGAATGAATGCTGATTTTATTAATTTTTTTATTTAATTTATAAATTAAATGACTGATAATATTTGTAATAAGGGTAATTCAGTATTTTTGTTGGATTTTAATAAAGGTAGTCGACATGTTACGTTCCTATAACCCGATTCTTTCGTTCCACCGTTTAATATCATCCCATATTATTAGGCAAGAATGTTTATGATATCAAGAAATGAATATACGATTTCCTTGAAAACAAATCAATCATCCACTCTTTAAAAGATATCGTATCCCCAATTCTAAAAATACAATAGACATATAAGAAGAGTGATAGAGGGTTTACATTCAAATCAAAGAATCGGCCACTGACTTAAGAATCGAACAATCAGAAGTCGATCAAGCACAAGATTACGAGAGAACTTCAAAACAAAGTTCATAAACACAACATCTGTGCCACTTCGGATCGACGACAACGACGATTTTGTCGATCCACCGCTGCCAGGTAATGTTTTTTTTGTTTTACGATATATTCTTCAAGAATAGAAGTGGTTTTTGCAAAAATAGTGTTCATTCTGTAAGAGTGATAACATGACGTAGGATAATTTTTTTATGAAATTTAGTTGAAAAAACAGTTTGGGTTTGAACAGGTTAAGTTTGAACATGTTAGGTTAGTTAAAAACAAGTTTGCGACTTCTTCTTCAAGAATTCTAATACAATTTGTCTAATATGGTGCATTCTATAAGAATGAATCGTTATTCTTGGATAATTAGATATGAATTTATGTTTGAAACAATTTAGGGTTTGAACAGATAACTTATTGGAAAAGTTTGTTTTTTTTACAATGTTCAGGGGATTTTTGGGTTTGCTGGTGTTGTGGCTTATTAGTAAGTGTTCTGTTAATATTTTTCTGTTCTTGTACACAGAATACTCTAAGAATTAATAGTTGATTGCAATTCCTTTGATGTTGAGATGAACTGGTGCTACTACAATTGAATTGTATAGTTTTTGTTGGTTATAAAGGTTACATACATAATTTAAGGATAGATGACAGTTGGTTTAGTAAAAAAAAATTGGTTTTAGGTTAATTGTGTATTCAATGATCGGTTAAGATAAGTGGTTTGTTGTTGTGCACGACTTATATAAAGTGCAATACATTCTTATAGAATGTATCAAAGAACTTGTTTTGTTGAGAATGGCGTGGGGTAGTAAAAAGAAGTAAACAATTCTTTTAGAATATTATGAAAGACATAATGAACGAACTCTTTAAGAATGGTGTGAAAGAAATAATAAAGGAACGTATATCAAATTCTATGAGAATACAGAATGTCGGTAGAGTGATTTATTTTTTATTATTGTGAACGAATTGTAATGATTTAGGTAAGTTAAAACTCGTTTTTTAACTTGTTTTCATTGACAGGTGGTGTTTTAATAGAAAAAGTTATGCAAGTTGTATCAGCATTTGATGAACAATTACCAATGGTAGAAGTCATTGTAGAACATGAAGCAATTATAAGTGAAGGGGGGAATGAGAATCAGAAAAAGAAAGAAAGAAGAAGCACATAGTAGAATCAACAAAGAAGGGTAGAAAAGTTAAAAGAAAAGATGATGGTTTCAATGTTGGTGAAATCAGATAAAAAAGAAAGTGTAATTTAGTAGCAAGGGCTAATACAAAGTAAAAAAAGATTATGGTTCTGGGATGAACAAGCCAATTGAAATAAGTAGAAATTCGAAGAAGAGGTTTGGAAAGAAGGTAACGCAAAAGAAAGTGGAAAAGAAATTGGAAAAGAAGATGGATAAAAACCATCTGAAAGGGATTAGAAGACTAAATAGTAGAATGTCACCTTCTAAGATGAGTCTAGTTGTTAGGAGTTTGACAAGGGCACAAAAAGAACAAGCAAAAAAATGGATTTAGGTACGCTATTAGATATAGATATCGATAGTTTACCAGGGCACTTGAACTACTATCTTCTTGATAATTAGGATCCATTGACAAATAGACTTGTGTTGCCCAAACAGTTCCTTGGAAATAACCAAGGAAAGGATACATGAGATTATGGGTATACCTATGGAGGGTGTTAGTATTAAGGACCTACCTTCTTGTGATACGGATAATCGGATATTTCAAGAATGGATGGCTCAGTATCCAAAAAAATTGTTTTCGAATACAACATATTTGAAAAAAAATGAAGGATTCAAGAGTGGATGACATTCTCTTTAGACTTAATTTTATAATACTGTTTATCAACACTTTTATTAAGTAAAAGAAAATAGGGACGTGTCAAATAAAAGCTGTTGAGAAGTTAGTTATGTTGGAAGACTATTCAACTATCGATTGGTGTCGGTACATGGTTGATAGCTTGATGACAAGGAAGCAATTATGGAATCAGGACGACCGGTTTTGCTATTACTCGGGGCCTATTACCGTATTGTTTGTATGAATGTCATAAATATATTTTAAATACAAATGATTATTAGTCTATAATGTCTATATTATTATATTTTCTAACAAATTAATAATATGTATGCAACTTGTTTATGTGTTTAATGTCCACATAAGTAAAAGCATTAAATTGAAAAAAAGACTCCTTTCATAATACATGTTACTGGAGATAAGTTGGAAAAGATCGAGGATTATGAGGTGAATGAGGATGCTCTTGGGATGGGGCATTTCATCAGAAGAGAAGATGATGAACATGAAGATGTTAGTAGTGATACAGATATGGAGTTGGAAACAGTTGAGAGAGAATTTGCAGATGAGGAGGTAAACACTGTTAATTTATATCCATTTTACATATAACGTTATTAAGTTTGATTGAGAAACAGATTCGTAAGTAATGATCTAATATATATGTATTGTTTTGGCATTGATGTAAATGAACTTTATTTAAGAATGGGCACATGAAAATGATTTTTTTAACTTTGAATTACATATTCTATCATATTGACTTGTTTATGTTATATAATTCATTTAGAATGATGAAATGGTAAGAGGTATATGAGCTTGTAATGAGTTTCGAAATTATTTAAATCTAAAATAATGGATTAATATGACATTTTCCTGGTATAAATTATTCTTAATAAATGAATATGTAATATGATTTGTTTATGACAGTTTAATTATTTGCTACGTGCAGGCGTATTGTGCCATATTTGACATCGGGTACATTAAAACAGTGACTGAAAAAGGCAGCATGGAAAAAACATTAACCGGAGGGCTGAAAAAGTTTCCTGATAGTAAAATATTGATAGAAATGATGACATTGATGAGAATGTTGTTTAATGATGGCGCGAGTAATGAAAATGCAATTGAAAATGAAAGTGATGGCATTGATGAGGACACAAACACAGATGAAAACATGTTACAGAAAAACGCACAACATGAAATTTTTGGACAAGCTTCAGGGTCAAATAAAAGTCCCGTTACACCATCCGGGATAAAAGAGAATGTATAAGACATTGGGCAGCACAGGGAAGGGAAAGAAATTGCATATGACTACATGACGCCTATGGGTGAAAATAATGAAGAATGAGGCAATATAAATGAATTGAGTAGTTCACAATTCTTTAAACCGCTTGGAGTTGTAGATGAAGTATTGGATATGATGGATAAAGCATCAGGTGAAAAGACGGTTACTGATGTTGGAGATAACAATGATAGGGTTGATAAGAGTTTAAAAGACACAAACAATGAGGAAACAGATTTTACTGCACAAAAAATAAGAAATTTATTAACTGAGCTAAACAAAGCAGTTATTATGAAGGATAAAAGGAAATTCGAAAAAGAATCGAACGTGATTAGGAGAAGGAAATGTAAGGTTCCAAACTATGAGTGGTCACCATTTGTGGATAGGTTAACTCGGGTACATGAAAAAGTAAGAAAAGAAGAAACAAATCTTTGAAACTCTATTTTCACTTCTAAAAGAGATCAATTATAAGTTTAAAATTTATATTCGTTTTTTAAAGTTATATGTTAAACATGTTATATGGTTTGTACATGATTGTTGATGAGTTTGTGTGTAAGCAGAGATGTGATTTGGGATTTCGATGAAAGAGAAAGTCTTCTTCAAGGTGATGTGTATTTCTTTGAAGACAAAATTTCCATTCATAGGTCGATAATTAATTGTTGGGCAGCATTCTTAAACACTATGGAACGAAATAGAGAACTAGGAACATCATCAAGAATATACTTTAATACCTATTTTATGGTATGCGGAAAATTTTAATATTTGAAGTTCATTATAAATAAAATTTGTTAATATGTTAGTTATTGGTTAACTGATTCTTGCAGAACGAAGTAGTGATGGACGAAAAAGAATTTGAGTTTACTAGACTTAAGGAGTTCACTTTAATGCTTGAAATGTTCATTGGAAATTTGGATGTCAAAACGAAATTCAGTGATGTTGGACTGGTATTTTATTATAATGAAACATATAATTTACATAAACATTGATGTAAATACGGGAAGATATTTGATTATTGATCATCTGAAACGTATTATCTGTATTATCTGTTGGGTTTCCACTTAAAGACGGGAAGATATTTGATTATTGATCATGTGAAACGTATCGGCACAGTGGAAAGTAGATATCGAAAAATACCAAGAATGCTTGTAAGAAGTAATATTGTTATATTTTAACAAATATGAAAATTATATATAAATAAATTATGGTTAACATTATGTATTTGATCTTTGTTGCAGCAATGGTTCTTTTGCAACTACTTGATGACACAAAACCATCCAATGCATTCTGAATTGTACTCAAAGGAAGCCAAACTCATGAGAGTGGTTTGGGAAGTCCCTGATATTGGTCATGAATGTGGTCTATATTTGATGAGGCACATGGAGTGCTATAAGGGAGATCTAGAAGGGAAGTGGGAAACAAGATTTAAAGGAATAAAACATAGTGATGTTGCAGTATTATCAAGGCTAAGGTATAAATATATGTATATACGGATGACCTCGGATCACAACCTACAAAAAAACATGTTGGTGGAGGAAGTTCATAAGTTTTCAAAGCTAGATATATTGCAGAAATGTATTTTGTTTTATGAGGCGAAAGAGTTGGCAAAGAAAAAAAGAAAGAATATTGATAAAAAGAAAAGAAAGGGAAAAAGTGGTTGAAAAGGGTATAGTTACAGAAGAATGTTAGTCTTTTGAATGTTTGGTTTGTGAAACATTAGTTTTATATTGCTTGGTTTGGTTTTAGTTTATGTTTGTTCATTTTTTTTAACTTATGTCGTTCTTTAGTTGATGGAACCTTTTACTATTTTGAAGTTATGGTATGAACAAAAAATGATTGTTTATGGAAGTTATGTTTGAAATAAAAATTAAAGTTTTTGGGTTGTGACAATTTTTTGAACTCTTATAGCAATAAGAAATGATTTTATTGGTGATTCTAAAAGATATATGTGGAATGTGTTTTTTTTTATATGGCAGATTCGTTAGGAATATGAGTAAACAATAATTGAAATTGGTGGTTCCGAGGATGTACCATTTGCATGTACAATCGCTAATAATAGTTTGTAGTAATATATATCATTTACATGGATAATCTCTAAGAATATTGTGTTTTAGTATGGTATTAAGTAATAATTTTAATTACATTTACATGGACATTCTTGTAGAATTGTTTGTAATATTATGTTATTAAGTAAGAAAAACATGAATGTAAAAATGTTGTTTATTCGTAATAGATTCTTAAAGAAAATTAGTTTGGTATTACTTATAACTAACGATTCCCAAGTATGCAACACTTACATGTCAATGATATGGATTTTAAAAAATATAAATATAAACATACCTTAAAATCTTTGTCCTTTACAAGATTATCAAAATGATATTCTTCCTCCTCAGGTTGGTCGGGGACAACTTCCTTTTTCCGTGTGCTAACACTTTTCTTTCTCTCCAAGACATCAACCATGTCGGCACCATCAAAAGAATTAGTAACGACTTTTGTGATAAAGCATGATTTCTCAGATTCAAAAATCTCTTCCTAAACTTGATAAAATATTATTCTGGTGTAAACCTTTGTTGCGTGTGGTTCATAAAGAAGATATGTAATGTTCTTCGAAAATGTTGTTGTAGTTTTGAAATCCGGTGAATTTTGAGTGTGCTTCTGTCTTTCCATGAACAAGTCAAATTTCATCATAAAATTGACAAGATATGATTCAGATAGTGTAGTGTTTTGAAAAGACCAGTTTTGACTTTCTGAGAGTGACGTGGTTCTCATCAAACCGGACATTGGAACATTCTTCCAATGCAGGAATCCACAGTCTCCTCAAACCAAACATCTTTCTTAACCATGTATTATCCTCCTGATGAAATTATTTAATCACATTGTCCCATCCGGCTTCGAACTCTAATTCATTAATTTTTGCATTCCATATCAGGCTGTTGAAACGTTTCTTAAAGTCTGAATTGTTGGCAATTTCCCAAGTTAACTAAAAAATACAAACAACATAAAAATGTAAGAATACAAGACATTATATGTTAGATAACAATGAATAAGAGTAATTGTAAAGATTATTACATAACAAATACTTTTGTAAAGAATGCTCAAATGTAGAAAATAATAGTGGTATGGATACATTTTTTGGCAATTTTGTTGTTATATGTCACATACATAAACGATAACTGGAGAGTGATAAAAATTCATCAATGGCTTTTTTGATTTTCGGATCTTGATCAGACGTTATAATCCTAGGTGGATTCCCAAAAGCTTTCAAAAAACATTTTAGTAACCATTTGTAAGAATATGTGTCTTCTCGGGTAGGCAATCCAACACCAAATGTGAAACACCTCTTATGGTTATCAATTCCGGTAAATGGAACAAATACCATGTTATACTTAAATGTTAAATATGTTATAATCATGAAAATATATATAAAAAAATTAATAATAACCTGTTAGTCTGGTAGGTGGCATCAAATGAAACAACATCCCCAAACTCCTTGTAGTTATACTTAGAAGTTTCGTCAACCCAAAACATTGAAAATTGTCTTTTTCCTCGACTCTAAACTCAAATGAGAAATTTGGTGCATATTTAAATCTCTCTTCCACGATGTTGACAATCAATTGGGCATCACTACCACCAATAAAACAATTTAAATTCCTAGCACAGTTCTTGTAATCAATCGCCAATCCACCACGAACTAAACACCCACCTTGGAGACCACACATTAACCTATAAGCTTTTTTCCCCAACATTATTCTTAGACATGTTATAATGTAAGTTTGTTGAGACTCCATGTGTTGGATAACACATCTCCTCATCTTCGGAGCCAGAGGACCATATTTGATATGTCCCTTCATTATCATCATCACCTTTTTCCATCAATGAAAGATTCTTCGACTTTGTACGAAGCTCTTCTAATTTCATTGTGTAGCAAGCCTCATCCTTTACGTTCTCCTTCTTCTCCTCTTTCTTCCCTAACATGCAGTCCTTTGCAAGATGATTGTATCCGTTACATTAGTTACAATTGTAACCGATATCACTTTTCAAATTCTTCTCAATTTTCTTCTTTTCTTATCTTCTTCCTTCTTCTCCACTTTCTCAACACCTTTTTGTCCAGGCCCTGTGTTCGTTATTGGCTTCTTCTCTAAACTGTTCTTGAAATTCCCACTAATTGGCTTCTTGTAAAACTTCTTCACCCTATTATTGGAATAATAGGCAACAACTTCATCATCAGAGTTAAGTAGAAAACCCTCTTCACCTTCTTTCGTTTCTTCATCAGACTTATTCTCTTTTGCATTTGTCTTGGAGACTAGTGTCAACAGACCTCCAAAATTCATTTTGTTCTCTTCAGCAATCTCCTTCACTTCCGACTCGTGTGCTTTCAAAATATTATAGAGATTCGACAAAGAGTAGGTGTCGAAATTCTCTTGAGTCTTAATCATGAGACAATTATTTCTCCATTCCTTTCTCAGCCCCAAAACGAAGGTAAGATTAAAAGCCAAGGTTGTATGAAGATAATTATTTGAAGATAAGCTCATTTAACCTATCGTAATACGATTCGATAGTTTCATTCTCATTTTGCTTAAAATCAAACCAATTCCGACAAGCATTGTGTCACAGAGCTCTTTTTGGTTCTTTCATTCCCTTGATACGTTTCCTGTAAAGTATCCCAGATATTCTTCGCTATCTTGCAACCTCGAACATAGTTGTAAATAACAGGTGGAAGATCTCCTTGCAGTTCACGGAGACATATTTTGTCATCTGCCTTTTTTGTTGCCTTGAGCGATCATGTCTTCAGCAGCACCAACGTTGCCAACAACTGGAACCAAATCAACACGATAGGGTCCATTTTTGATAGATCTCCAAAGATATTCATCAATTCCATTAAGATAGACTTCCATACAATCCGCCCATTAATCGTAGTACTCAGGAGTCAACATTGGAACTTTGGTAGCAGATCTAAGTAAGTTCGCGAAATTGATCATGGTGCTGACGTTAAGATTTGCCATCAGATTGAGTTGAATTCAAGAGAAAAGTGGATAAAATTGAGAAAACTGAAATCATAATCCAAGTGATTGACAAAAGAAACGCAGAATCGATCAACCATAGTGATTAATTAAAGAATTATGCCTCCACTTTGTGGAAATATTGAATCGGAACAATCAACTCAATAAAGTGAAAACACGAACGAAATTCTTTAGATAATATGTTGATTTCTGCTCTGATACCAATTGGAAATATGCTTTGATTTATGTTTTAATCAATCGATAGTAAATTAGAGTAAAGAACACGAATATCTAAATAAGATCTGGTTTCAGCTCAGTATATTCCGGAATGAGTACAGAGAAAGTTTGAGTACAAGTAAGCCCAAGAAGTTTCGACTTTCTATAGTACTTACCATAGTTATAGGGTACTCACGGACTCAAAAAATACTAGGACTCGACATTACATTGTGGATCGACAAGGTGCCTAGTAAATACATTACATAACGAGGACAAGTAAACACTCGTTATTTACAGTCTACTCTATAACAAGATAACTATCTATTCAACATATCACAACAAAACATGACTCAACACCTTGGCCAGTTATGATATATTGGTGGATTGATTTGCTCTTTCAACCTTGGCCTTAGAAATGGAAAAAAGAAATCTAATGATATGATATGATATGATATGATATGATATGATACGTTATGTTTCATATGAAATGATTTTCATGAAAATGCTTTGAACTTTTTTTATAAAAATGTCATAAACGTGTTGGGTCACAAACGCGCGTATCTCATGATACATTATTGTCTTACGTATCTCTTTTTCAAATCATGTATCCCAGGTTATACGCAAGGATAGAGTGATGCTTGATAGAAGCTTGCTGATTTGTCATGATAGATGGAGTGGAACTTAATGAGTTACTTAGTAATGGTATTTTTTTTAATTCATATTTGCTTGTTATGGTTGTATGACGATTAATGGTAACACCCAAGGTTGTAATTGTAAATGTTTTTATAGGACTCTTTTTTGTTAAATGTGAGTTAATACCCGAAATGATTTTATAACCATATCATTTTAAAGTTTGAAAAAAATTTGGGGTGTTACAGAGAACACGACAAATTATCCTTCAAGAAAAAAAAAACACATAATTCAACAATGATCTTAACAGACTAGTGATATAAACAAATTGATCAAAAATCTATTGGAAATTATTACGAAATACAGACGAATATTAATGAAAATGGTTTTTTACATTAATCATTTGTCGGAAAATAGCGATAATGTTTTTTTTAAGTTCTCAATATTATGACGAAAAAATGCATGCATATTTGTGTTTTTTAAAATAGTTTTCAAAACCAACTAAACAATGAGACTCTAATAGCAGCATTTAAGAGAATCACAACTTGAAAACGTCAAAAAAAACACAGAAAACATAAATAGGCATTCATGCCTATTTAGATGTGTATATACGCATATTTCCAATAAAATCGCCAAATCATTTTTTAGCATTGGTCCTTCTTAGACCTAGCATTTAATGAATATTGGTGGTCTTGGGTTTGAAAAATGGTAAGCGAATTACGAGTTCTTGAGTTCTTGCAAATCTTTAAGTTTTTAAAATAACTTTCGTCTCTCTCTCTCTCTCTCTCTCTCTCTCTCTCTCTCTATATTATATATATATATATATATATATATATATATATATATATATATAGGGAGAGGTTAAATCGAGAACAAAAAAAGGTTGAGAATGTGAGAACAGTTCTGGACCAATCAATATATAAGGGCATATAAGGAATTTTACAATACAATTAAATATGGATAAGTTATATGTATTTAATGAATTCCTACAATTATGAGATGTAACTTCTACTTTCCATAATTATAAATGACATTAATAGGATAGAATTTTTTTTTTAATTATCGAAAAATTATAATATTGTCATTTAACATTATTTTTCTCAAAAGAATGCTTACTTTTCTTTTTATTTTATTTTTGTCAATGAAATATAAAAATGA